ATATATATATATATATATATATATATATATATATATATATATATATATATATATATATATATGCAGTAGGAGCAAACCGTGTACTGGGGTGGGTTGGCGAGTTGTTTTCTTGCAGGATCATCGACCCTCTTTTCAGCAGGTGTTCTCCTCATCGCTTTGAGCCTGTGAGTCGTCTCCGTATATATATATATATATATATATATATATAATCTATAAGCATATATATTATATATTACATAATATCTGCGTCTTACTTAAATATACTGAAGTCATTTGGTGCTGCACTTATAAGCTCGCCACCTAAACATTAAGTACACCTGGCGTGTATGCGGAGTGTCTATAAACACAGAAATGTTTGTAAAGATGCAGATATGATAGATGTGTGAATATGTTTTTCTCTGCAGGTGTCGCCCGATGCTCAAATGGAGCGGCTTCAAATGATCTGCAAAGCAGAAAATTTAAACGTTGAGGAGGCAGCAATTCACCGTCTAATGAATCTAACAAATGGTGATTTGCGCCGGGCTGTGAACCTTCTACAGGTTGGTGTAGTGTATATACACCGAAAAGTCCACAAATTCTCGTCTTGTATACACAGGGAAAGCAGATGGCAGCTTCATAGTTTAGAGTGTATTTCTGTCTTGTAGCTGCGCCTGGCTGTATAGGGGATGAATAGCTCCAGGGTGAACAATGGGGTGGTGTTGTATGTGTTGCAGTCTGCTGCGGGAATACACCAGAATATCACTGAGGACGCGATCCTTGAGGTTGCTGTCGTAAGTTGCCTTCACCCTGAAAGGATTTAACACTTGTTGCTGGGCTCTGTACGTAAACAGGAGCTATCCACACACAATTTCCCTTCTTGTAGTTCAGAGCTCGACTGAATATTTTATATTTTGGTTTTTTTCCTCTCTTTCTCTCTTTTGCTTGACAGCATCCGCCTTCCTATGTCGTTCACAGCGTCCTCAATGCCTGCGCAACTTCGCCGGAGGCGGTGAGCTGCATGAGGGCTTATTCGTTGATATATATATATATATATATATATATATATATATTTACATATTTATTTGTGGTTTGTTTGTATGTGGGGAGAAGTGTATCACTGAACACAGATACGATGCTGCAGGCGAAGATATATGTAGATGTACACGCGTGTCTACAACTTACCGCTATAGAACATATATCGTTGCTACTGCTTGTGCATATATATATATATATATATATATATATATATATATATATATATATATATATATATATATATATATGTTGTGTGTTTATATTCAGGTGAACGATGTTGCAGAGGAAGTGACAAACCAAGGATGGGATGTGGCGCTGCTCTTGCAGGAGGCGAGTGGAGTAGAACACCTCCTATTTGCATCTTTAGAAAGGATTTAATCATATAAATTAATGCTAGTTTACAATTGATTAACATCTGCTTTCTCTTTTATATTATTATAGACGCACTTAACAGTGCGTATGGTGTTGTAGCCTGGCTGGCGCTTCGTTGCTGCGTCAGATTGTGTGCTGATGAGGCGTGAATTATCCTTAGAATAGTATAGAGTTTAGGGTTCAGGATTTAGGTACCAAAGAAGAAGGTTTAAACACCACACAGAGAGGGTTCATAACACCAACAGAAACAGACATACGGCGCCAAAAAGGCGGTGTATCACACCAAACAAGGCGGGCTTACACGCACGCAGAACAGAGAGGGAATCGTCAGCTAATATGTTTGTTTGTTTCTTTTATGTGATTGACTTGTGCTGCAGATGGTTGCAGAAGTTGTAAAGACTGACAGCCTCTCAGATTTGCAAAAGGCCACCATACTCCATGAACTCGGCGCGACAGAGTTTGCCGTATTGCAGGGTAGGCGCTTCATTATATTAAATTTTTTCCTTTAATTTTACTTATTTATAATCCTTATTTAGAATTAATTATTATGTTTATTTGCATCAAGCGCTTTGTGGAGTAAGCGTCAACTTTCCCTTTAAGAAAGATGTATACAAATATACGTTTAGCTAGAATCTCTATATGGTGGTTGATACGGGGGGGGAGAGATGCTGGAGGGTCTGTGCTGAGGAGGACGGCGGTGGTAGTTGGTTTATTTGGTCCTTCCTTCACGCCTATCTGACATGTGGTCGTGTTTATTTATATATTTTCGTGTATTTGTTTTGGGTTGTATTTGTTTGTGTGGGCGATTCAGGGGCGAACTCTTTACTGCAGCTTCTCTCCGCTTGCTTGAAGATCCAAGCAGTCGTGCTGCAGCAGCCTTAACTCCCGTTTACAAGAAAGAAGAAAACCCCAACTTATTCTTAAGAGAAGAAGGAAGGGGGTCAAGTACAGACAAAACATGGACTGAGCCGTTTCAATGACATGAGGCTCGCCGTCAGCAGCAAGTTTGTTGTTTCTCAACTGAGACATTATCTGAATGGAGATGATGCATGGACTGAATTCGTCTTTTTTAAAAAAGCAGCAGTGCTGCCTTTTCAGCTGCTGACATTTCTCTTCGTTATCCGGCACCCTCTGCAAGCACTGTCGGTGGTATTGTCATAAGAGGGCACCTGCGAGCGACAGTGCAGTTCATTTGTTGCAACAGATGCTTGTGCTTTCACTCATCTGAAGTCAGTGTACGCTTCCTTGCACTGATTTGCAAGTCTAAACATCGTCTTCAGCTCCTAACGACGATGGCAAACTACTGAAATGTATAACACAAACCTTTACGGAATACCTGTGGCTTTGAAACACTCTCGTTATTAAATAAATTAATGCTTTCTTTTTGTTATTTGATACATAAGTAAAACCTTGAAACCACTTGATACATAAATCCCACGACACCTTAATAAGAAAAGGCAATTTCCATCCGTTGCCCGGAAGTTGTTTTTGTCTCATCCTCAGGCGAGGATGAATATACTGGTATGTAGAAGTTTTTGGTGTATCATCAGGGCCTGACACCTCATGCAATGCAAATTACTAACACTGCACCAGAGAGTCGTTTTTGCTGTTTATACACCCGACTATAAGATCCTTTAGCGGTGCAGCTAGCTTTGCAGCTAGCTGCGGTCCAGCTAGCTGCTGTCCAGCTAGCTGCGGTCCGCCTCAGAAGCTGGTGAAGCGGTCCGTCACCGCCTGTTTATGCAGGGCAGCCCGATACTCCGCAACTTGTTGTTTAATGATAGCCAAGCGGGAATTGACTCCAACAAAATGTCTGTTGTCCTTAAGACCCCCCAGAGAACGACTTGCACACCCCATAGCCAACTCGATTTGCAGCAGCGAATCTGTCAACTGCTGGGCAGCGACGTCGGCTCGAGCCCGCTCTTCCTCATTCAGCTGCAGAGAACAAGAAGCAAAGCAGCAGCAACGCAATGCCAACGCAGCAACAGCAACTAAACACCAAAAACGCACACTTCCTTCCTGTCTGACTCAGGCCTCCTCAAGAAATACGCAAACATTAACCAGTGACCATCTAACAGTTCTCCACGGAGAGGCTGTCGCTAAGCGAATAAAAGGTATATCCAATATATATATATATATATATATATATATATATATATATATATATATATATATATATATATATATATATACTGCTTCCCACCTGGGACAGCAGGGGTCCGCTGACGCTTGACGCGAAGTAGGGGAGATCCCCTGCCTCCGTCAGTCGGTGGAGGAGGCCGACGTAAGTTGAAGCGGCAGCGACGTCGTCTTGGCTCGTCAGCCACTGATCGAATATCCAACAGAAAATTGTTTGTAGCTCGGTGGACTCCAGCCGGCTCTGCTGCTTCGCCAGTTCATCCTGAAACAAGAACAACGAGGACAAAACAAAGAACACGGCGCAAAGAACACAGAACAATTCAGAAAGAGAGAAAGGGGAAACACGCGTGTAATAGGTAAAGAGGAAACAACATTGCTCAGCATTTGCTGCTCCTTTTGCTTTCTCAAGTTTAATTCCAGTAGACTGAAACTTTTTCTGAAATGAAACTTTTTCTGAAATTGGATTCATGTGGATCAAACGAAACCAACGCGCCCGTGATGTGGTTGTTTTTTAGGCCCATTCATGTGCATGCACATGCATGTGCGTGCATGCAACCATGCATGAATGATCTGATTTACCTCTTCCAGAGATAAGTAGAGGTTGATCAGAGTGTCAAACGGTTGCCCACACTCCGCTAGCCGCCACGCCGGCCACAGAAATGCAGGAATTTCCACCGCCTCCCCTTCGGCGTTCACCATGGTGACTTCTTTGTTGCTGTTTCCCCACTGACTTCGCGCGTAAACATGCAAAACAACAGAAAGCCGCTTCAAAGACCTGGCGCAGCTCTCCCGGACGGCCACATCCGACAAGGCCAGTAAATCCTTCAGCTGAAACACAGCAGTGCACCCCTCCATATTAACTTGCCGTTACAGTGTCTGGCTTCACGCGTTCGATCCCAGCACCACTCTCTATACCCATAAGACAGTCATCTGTGAACTTAATTACTGCATAATTAAATCAATGAATCACTGAACCATTAATTTATTGTATCATCGATTCATTCATTCATTATGTCACTGCTGCACCAACACGTTCACTCACCACTATCACTAAATCATTAATTCATTAACTCATTAAATCAATAAATCACTAAATCACTATATACTTCGTGCTGCTTACACTGTTGGACAGAATTCGCGGCTGCTGCAGCGTCCTGGCGGCAGCGGCCCCGAAGGATAGGAATGCCATGCATGCATTATCGAGTTCATTCTTTGCGATTTCTTCTTCTTCTGTATATGCATTAAGTCGCCGAACTGCTGCAGTTGCAACGCACTGCCCCTGCAGGCGGAGAGCCGCAATAGCGGGAAAGTGAAAGCCAAATTGTTCTGTCTTGAGGTTTTCACGCATTTGCAAATTCAATAAATCCAACAGCTCCAAAGGTGCATACACCACACGCTGCAGGTCGATCAGCAGAGAAAGCAGAGACCGACAATCATCCTGAACACACCACAAAGTAAACCAGCACAACAAACAAACAAATTTGGTTTTAATTTGCTGCTATTGCAGTCGCTTTAAATGCATGCCTCCGTCGGTTGCCCGCCTCCATAAAGAGGCACTTTATGCACTGCTCAACCGCCACTGCTAGTCAACATCGGATGCAGCTGACGAAAACAAAGAGTCTAGGTCCTGAATATTCAATGTGAAAATAATGCCAGCAGCAGCTACAGCAGGTCTAGCAGCAGCTACAGCTGCAACGGCGGTAAGAGCGAGCAGCGACAGCAGCAAAAGCAGGACGAGCCGAAACAGCAGCACGAGCGGCAGCAGCAAAAACAACCTGCACTACACTGAAAACCGAACCTTTTCAACGATACAGCTTTCCTTTCTACCAATGGCCCTCTCCTGCGCTGTTGCTGCTGCTTACCACTGCGCTGTTGTTTTGCCTCGAGTGTTTATTCGGCGACGCAGCAGCAGCTGCTGCAACTTCATCACAAAAAGATTCAACTTCTTCGGCTGAGACGGCGTGCTGTGCTGGTGCAGGCGATATTACACCCGAAAGCAACGCGCGTTCTCTCTTTGCCGCTTGCAGGTGGCTCACTGCCAATACACAGAACAAATGAACGGTGTCGCGCACAAGAGCTCGTTGCAACCCCACCTGCAGCAGAAAAACGCGTACATGAAGAGAAAAACTAAAGATGTTTTTATGAAGAATTACATATTTTATATACATGCAGTACAGTAAGAAAAGAACGCCTTCGGACTGCATGCAAATGATACTACTTCTGCTGGCTTGTGGTGAACATGCAAGTTGCTAGTGTTGATGTTTTTCTTCGTGGTTTCTCTCACAGCCCAACATGAATTAGCGGATACAAGAAAAGGCAAAAGAAAGATGAAACAGGAAGAAGGGAAAAGAAATGAGAAAAACAGAAAAAAACATAAAAGCATTGGTTATTTAGAGCCATAGACTATAGCAACTGTCTATTCATGAATTTAGTTTCTTCCTCTCGCACCATTCGGATGTTGAGGTCAATTTGTTTAATTGAATTTTCAAGGGGTGTTAGCGTTGTGTCGTCATCAGCCGGAGCATCAAAAGATGAATCTTTTGGATCCCCCGAAAGAGAAAATCTTCTCGCTGCAGGTAATCACGCACGTAGACAAAACAAATACAAAGAATAAATGTATCTTGTCAACATGCATGCATACTATCTGCATATGTGTATTCAATATGTCGATGTTTCAATCAGCCCGCAGTCAGCACGCATACATAGAGTCTGTATGTATGCACTAATGCAGCTTGTAGACATTCAGCTAGCAAGCATTTACTCAGTCTCTATGCAATTTGCATGCATGCAATACGCATACTGATGTTCATATACATAACTATTTGTTGTTTTGTCTCACAGGTGGTTGTATTTCGTTCTTTAGCAGCAAAATGAAGAGATGCAGGGTTTGTCTGTCCGCTGGAAGTTTGAATGTAATTTTGTGCATTTTCTTTTGCCTTAACGAAATGCAGAAGGCGTTGATTTAAAGAAGGAAACTGTGCGTGTTGTTTCATCCATGTTGTGATGAATCGCCAGATAGGCTGCGTGAGGCTGCAACAGAAAGCATCTGTTTCTGCATCAAATGACAATAGACTCGTTAAATCCTCCTCTGATTCCGCTGTTTTCTTCTCTGATCCGCGCGAATCAGATGCAACAAAAGAAGATTCATGAATACCAGCCTCTCCTCTCTCAACACACCATGCACGCAGCCCCTGCACACTGTGGCACTTCGCTGCCTGCAAGCACAGAAACCCAGACGAGGCCCCCCATCCTAAAGCGCAGAACACGCTACCCCGCTATTTATAAGTGCATCCAAAACATTAAATTAATAATAATAATCAAAAAGAACCGCACATGAAAGTGAAAACAACATGAAGGCAACAAAACAACGTGCCTCCCCCTACCTGCGCATACAAACCAGAAGCTGCATAACGATCGCCCAAATCCACTGCAAATTCAACTTCACTCTGCGCGAGAAGACGATCCGCCATGGGGCCGTCAATATGCAAAAGTGCCACGGGGAA